TGTATGTAAAGAGAAAGCTTACTTCTTGCGTAGAACTAAACACCAAGTAAAAGTAGGCTCATAAAATGCTTTTCTTCAGTACACCCTTGTGCGAAACACCGATTTCGAACCTATCCCTATGCAAAGTTATCGCGGGTAAGTAATGCTTATTTTTTTCAGTTTTTTCACTTAAGTTAAAGTGAGTCATTCTCTTATTCATGTACACAACAGTTCATGCTGTTACAATCACCATGTTACATTCAATTGAAACTAATTATTTTTACCAAAATAGTCCGGCATTTGTAATGCCAAAACAATTGATTGCTAATTACTGTTTCCACAACAGCGATATGTAATCATTACAATCATTTTCTTAAAGTTTTGAGTTAGCAATCTATGTACAGCATGAATTCATTTCAAGGATTAGAAACGAACCGAGTTCACTAATGCTCCCCTTCCTTTGTTTCCTCCAGATTCTGCTCTGATATCTTCACACCTGTTGTCTTGACGTGATCGATGTGTGCGTATACTGTCTGGGACTGTTCTTTGACAAACTTGGCGCTGTTTTCTCGGGAATGGATCAGATCTGCGTACACAAGACCACGATAGGGAGGGGGAATCTAGATCAAACATAGGAAGTGAATGATATTTTATAGGCAATTCGTGAAACCAGTGACAGTATGAGCTAAAAATACAAAACAAGAATAAATCAATAAATAAAAATTAAAAAAAACGGGAAGAGTAAGGACCACAACAGTTTACAAATTAATATCTAAATATGGTAAGCTTACAGGATCTGTTTTACCCTACTGGGGTTTCGCCCAGGCATTTTTTGTTCTTTTTTTGTTTTTTTGTTTTTTTCTGTGCTTTGTTTCTGCGGTTTTTTTTTTTTCTTTTTTTTGTCTGCTAGTCTTAATATACATTTGCAGTTTTGAGAAGACCCTTTAGTTGCTTCCAAAACAAAAAAGAAAAAAAGAACAAGTCCAGATAAACATAACCTGGTTGGAATTTGTGAAATTTTTTATCACCTGTGGCGGTTTCTTCTTCTTGTTTGTCTTGTCAACAGCTGCGTACAAGTGTTCAATATTCCCACCAGCCTGAAGCGTCTTGCTCCCTGCAGCCTTTTTGCTTTTTTCGAGCCCTGAATCAGTTTGATGTGACAATCGATCAATACAATCAACGCAGGACGCCCGGTTCACAAGAAACCCACTTGTTCCTTTTTGAGGGGGGTCTGGAGTGTTTTTAAGGGTGCTCGCTTCCGAACTGGCTCTGCCTTTTCTATCTTTGTGAACAACAGCGTAAACATGATCCTTGTTTTCTTCTTTTTCACTGCATAATGTGGCTGGCTGCTTTATTCCTCTCTCGCCACTAACCAACGTTGTGTTATCTCGTGCTTGTTCCTGAAAATCTGAACGCCCTTCACCCATTAACATAGACTTAGTCTCATCAATGTTATCGACCTCGCATTCTTTTTTGCGGTCGCTAGCTGTTTCGTAGGTAGCCAGCTCAGATTCCGTTCGTGAAAGGGTTAGGTGTACGGTAAGCTCAGCAGAGCTCTGTGTTTGATGAACAAGCACAGGATCATCAATCGATAGCTGTTCGGAGGTCGAGGGCATCTCGTAGGAGCAAGTTACACGATCTTTGTCTGAACATGGTCTACATCAGAAAAAATGAAAGGTAACTCAGATCTTACACATCAGGTTGCAAATACTTTCTCTAATCCGCTACCCTAATAGAGCTCAGCACTTTTTTTAATTGTCGTCAAATGTTCTAATATATATATTCCTTTCATACTTGTCACCTTGTCACTGTTTACTGTTCAATTTCTTATCCTCCTCCCCCTCTTTTTGTTACCTACAAGATCAGACCAAAAACTCTTGCATTTTTGGCGAATTCTTACACTCAGAGAAAATAGAAACCCNGAAAAAACAATAATCCGAACACTGCTATAAGGCCCAGAATGAAAATGGCAAGTAGCACTAACACAATAAAAATCAGGTTGGGCTTGGTAACATCGACCTCTTTTTCCAATGGAGAATCATTGTCTTTTTTCCATGACGTGATCCCTTTTGAAAGTGAAACAGTTAATCTCTTATTGAAGTAATCAAATATAACTTGTACATCAATACTTAAAAGAGAAGAAAAGTAGAAATAGATTACAATATTGTTTCATTTGAGGTTTTTCGAAAACTTTGGGCAATAGAATGCCATCGTGATGAATTATCGAGAAAGTAGAAATATATTAATAGTGAATTATTAATTATAATAACAGCAAATATAATGAAAACAATGTCAACAACGAGCTTGAAGTAATGTTGAACTTTTTTCTATGAAATTGAGGGTACTAGACATTATTTGTATTCGTATTTATAAATTCGTACAGTGTACAGGCAAGAGAACAATAGGACACGTAGTTCCCTACTACGTTCACCCACCTAAACCAACTCCAACCAGCCCATCACATCATAGGGGAGGACACCCATCACACAGTAATACCGTGCGTGGGAAATTAACGTCTCCTACCCCTAACCCTGCAGGAGACCGTGACCTCCATGTATTCGTCCCTATCCGAGAAGACTAGAATTTCTAACCACTTCTTGATGGTAGCATATTCTTCTCAATTATTTTAAGACCTTGAGTGTTGGTCCGGCGGGGACTCGAACCCTCAACCTCCCGCACAACAGTGCAACGCTCTATCCATTGAGCTAACTGCAGCTGAGAGGCGTGAGCAAACATCGCTGATACTCCATGATCGGTGTGAATAGACTTACTCAACGAAGTTACACTATTCGTAGAAACATCAAACGTGGATTGTTTCTGTGGTATGTGAGATGTCCTTTTAGAAAGTGAAAATGTAGGAGTCGAGAACGTAGCTTTGGGTAAAAATTGAGACGTTTCCTGAACCCCTGTAGTCTCCGATGCTTGGGATCCAATGATCGACTCTGTTGAAAGGCGAAAAGAAAGGTGAGGGTACTTATCCCACCAAGTATTCTTTAATTCTCAACTTATGCCTTCCTAATATCCGTATAGTTACCTGTCACAAGAGGAGCCGTATAGTTCTCTGGCTCTGTCGCTGAGAAAACAAAAGGAGAATGTAGCTAAAAAGTATTTTGTTATTAAAACAACTCCTGTTATATCTGTGTGTGTGTGTGTGTGTGTGTGTGTGTGTGTTTAAGAAGATTTAGTTATATCACGGTTTTTACCACTGACTTGCTCTTTTGAGTCCATTTTGGAATTACTGATAATCACTTATCTAAATAACTGTACAAATCGCTACCTGGTACAGGAGTAATCGTAGACGTAAGATTCTTCGTTGCTAAATAATAAAAGAAATTTCTCGGTTAGCATTAACCTATCGTATTTACAAGGATTTCCAGCCCTGACAAAGTCGTAACGGCAGGCTTGTAAAATTACAAAATTTCTTTACATGTGTTTGATAGCACTAATCAGCTGCTGACACGTCACTTGCATATCGCACAACTCACCCAGGCTAATAATGAGTGGCAAACGGCACCTCAAAGATTCAACACAGGCTGATTTGGCCGAGTATCTAAGCAGATTTCCTTAGTTAGTGCGGAAAAAGTCAATAACTGAGAATCTATTATAAATTGAAAGTTACGTTCATTGTTTGTTTTTTTCATCTTGAGCCTTATTACCCAAATACTCTACAACTGTTTTTCGCGGATTGTATTTGTGAATAAAGTCAACTTTTCTTGCCTTTATAGCCTTTAAATAATAAATCAAGTGATACATGGTTGCTTGTCGCCTATGGAATTTCTCTTCTCGTGTTATAATCAAATATAACCCGTTCTAGGACAATACCGTCTTCGAATGCCTAAAGTATCGCTTTGCATGCTTTGTTTTGTTTACAATGCTTTTGTTTTTGTTCTGTTGTACCATTGATTTGTTCTCGTAGATCCATATTCTAAAGGGTTGTGCACTTATCTTGGACCTTAGTCGGGCAAACTCTTAGATTCTGCAAAATATTCCCTAGTCTCTATATGAGGAAAGGAACTCGATGACGTGTAGTGTTAAAGTAGTTCCAAGGGCTTGACATTAAATATTTGCTCCCGAAATATTTTTTTTATGATTTTAAGAATGAAGACTTGCTTTTACCTCTTTCAAAGTAACATCCATTAGTCCCTTCGCATATGTATCCTGCTATTCGATTTCTTTTTTGACAGCCTACATCATTATAGAGCCCATAATATTTGTTGTAGTCTCTGTACATTTGTACGCAGTTCTCAGGGTTGTCTGGCCTACTGCTGGGTTCGCTTCCTGCCCAGGGCCATTTTCCACGAGACGCGTTCACTGTGCTGTTATCACTGACCCATCGCCACTTTCTGGATGAATTATCTTTCCTCAAACCAATGAAGTATTCACCGGTTTTCCATTTGGTATTGTTAATGGTTTGAAATAAAAATTTCCATTCATCGTGAGTCTCAATAGAAACAAGGTCACATCCGGCCTCTCTGCATCTTTGTCTACTTATACTCCAAGAGTAACGTGCTGTTTCATTACTCTGAGAAAAAACATAACTGGAGCCATTCCTCTCCAGGTGATCTAAGTGTAAAATTCAACATAAGAATAAAATATTGACGAACCTATCAGTGAAACATTCTGTTTTTAAAAGTATACTGGCCATTTCCAGTCCAGAGAGCTAGAGCTAGAGAAAGTTGTCTTCAGTTTCGGCATCGATCACCGCTATGAGTTCCTTCAGTGGATCACCTGTTTTCACACTTAAAGCAATATCGAGCTGTTCAGTTTGGGATTGTTGGGAGTTTTCGTTTGGTGTATCTTTTAATTTGTTTTCACTCCTGAATACGAGAAGCACGCGAACGAGTTATGGTTATTCCCTTTAATTCAAGGCATTGTGAACGCATTGTGGATTTACTGGCGCCTATAAGAACCTTTTCGTCTGTTATCATCGTTGCTCTCAGTTCCTATTTCTAACTTTCCTTTCAGACATAATGTTAATCATAACGTATAGAAGACTTTCTCGGCCGCAGAGTACCCCAATTAATGAATCACCCTAAATAATTCAGGGAAAACAATTTTTTCTCGAAGCAATTTTTTTTTTCTTTATCTTCAGCAATAAGGCATACACGACTGAAAAAATATCGAACCAGTCGCTACAAATTATAACCAACTAGTTGGCTTACCAACATCGCCATTTACGTAGATGGTTCCGCTAAGCACAAAGATCGCAGAGAATACCAGAACATTGAATTTCCCATTCCGACAAACAAATTTTTCTGACAATATGCACATGCATCAAAAACGAAATGTTTAGCAAACCGCGGTATGATACGGATATCAGACGCTTCAGTTCTACCCTGACAGGTAATTTCGCTCAAATCGCGCCAAGACGAGACTGGCACCACTAAACACACAGGTACGTGTATCGATTATGAATGAATGTCACAAATGTAAGCTTATCTTAATCAGGAGGTTTACTTATAAGAAATTAATAACAATACAGTCCCTGTTAGCTTCTAGTGACATTATTCTCTCCCGCCATAATTCATTCAAACCTTGTTCAGCTCAAGTTCCTATTACAATCTCATAGTTTTTTGGTCCCCTGATGACCTGTTTATTACAAACAGAGCAAGGGAAATTGGCAAAAGCATAGTGAATAGGAAAAACAAAGTTTGTAAGTGCCATGCAGTGTTCCTCTCCAGAAGAAACGGTATATATTTCTTGCTGTATTTAACTGAGCCTCTCATTTTCATCATTTAATTCAGTTTTTTTTTTTTTAATCATCCACTCGGAAACATAGGTAAATGCCAATAGTAAGAACGTCTTGAAAAGGAAAAACTATGTTGCGAAAACCTTTGCTTCCAAAAATTGACTCTTTTTGCTTCTGGAACCGGCCTTCTTAGTTCACGATTCTCTTGCAGTGTATTTTCCAAGGCAGGTTTTCAGCATTGATCTAAAATAAATTGCATGCACATGTATAAATCTCCCCCCTTGAAAGTCGTTTGAATTTCATGCTTTGTGGCATGACTGCTGAAGAGGAAACAAAATAAGCCTAAAGAAAAGAAAAGGCAAAGAGAATACGAAAACAAACAGAATTCAAATGTCTAATGCAGTTCTCTGCAAAGTGTTTTGTTTATTTACTATAATTTTTTTCCGACGTGATGACATATGATTTAGTTTATAATATATATTTTTTTCCATCTGATCATTCTTTGTTGAAACAATAACTGAGTGTTGTCAGTATAAATGTAAGAATCACTCTCCAGCTAGCTGGCTTGACGACTTGAAAGGAAGCTGTGTTTGAGAAATCAATCAATTCCATTCTCATTTCGCTTATTGGCAATTGCGGTTGACCCAAAGAATCCTTTGATTGCCATCAGTTTCTTTCAGTTTGGTAAATATGATTATATTATACGCGGAGTCTTCGTTTTTTCCACTTAGCTTACAAGAATTGTGTTTTACATTCCAAAAATGGTGCGTTTGTTCTTTTCATTCCTTTATTCCACAACTTCCTGTGGAGCTTTATCGGCACAATGATTTTCTTGTGTTTAGCAGTAATTTTGTATGATATTTCTTAGATTTCTTTCAGCATTTTCTGTTCGAGTATGAATCTTTTGTGTTAAATCAAAATGAAAGGTCTCGTTTAAGGTGGCTCAATAGGGTTATGCAAGATCACGAAGCGCGCGCCTGTGACATCAATCGAAAGTTAATATTCTACTTATTTTTGCTATTTTTCAAATCAAAGCTACTGAAACATTAAAAACAAGGGCCTAAATTTGCTGTACAACAGTCACCTCTGAAGTCAAGGCTTTTAGTCCCAAATCAAAACTACTCAAATATCTCAATTTTTTGACGTCTGTTTGACTTTGATTTCAATTTGCTTCAATATCCTTCGATAAAATTTTCTATTATTCTCCGACCGGGTAGAGTCTGACAAGACAAAACTTTAAAATCGAAAAAAATTGAGCTTGTCCAGGTGGTTTTTTCGCTTTTAACATTTTTGTTGTTTTTTGGCTGAGCGAAAAACTTGTCATACAGATTTTTCTGATAAATTCACAGGAAGTAAAGCTAAAAGGGTATAACATCTCTGCCAAATTTTAAGGAATTTCACCGAAGGAAATACGAGAAATCTGAGGGGGAAATTTCTATTTTCTCACCTCAATGGCAATTACGTCATCAGAATAGGAACTCGCCAAGATCGCTATTTGAGCATGCGCGAACTTTCGAACCACGCGGTTTTGTCGAGGACGAATGTGTAAACACGGGCGGTC